ATAGCTAATCATGGCACTGAAGAAGGCAAGCCTGCAAATGACTTTCTTTTTACAAGGGTAACTGTGGTTAAAAGTTATATAACATAAAAAATAAAAGAATTATTTTTAAATTCAAGTTATTTGAATTTTTTGTTGTTCACTGGAAAAATTGTTGTAGCATGGGAAGAGTAGAAAACTGTGTCGTCGTATTGTAGTAGACGATGGGAAAAAAAGGTTTAACATAGTGATTTATTCAGTTAGATGTTAGGATAAATTTTGATTTTGCAATTCATGTTCTTAGTAGGCCCATCTGTGAAAGAAAATTTCTGGCACAAGCCAACCCTCTTGTGGTTCACACCAAGGCTTGGCCTAAACACAGAAACAGGAATGGAATTTTTATGTTTGATTGGAATGCTTCTCTCTCTGTTGGCCATGGCACTGAAGTCTTGGAGAGACTCCATCACCTTCTTTGTTCTTTGGTTTCTGTACTATTCTTTATATCAGGTAAAACAAAGTTTCTGTAGAAGGCTGTTTGTTATATAGGAGACTGCCCTTTTAGGGGAACAATTCTACTGATAGTTAAAAGATGGGAATATTGCATTGAATTTTGCTCTATCTTTTAACAGCTTAAAACAATAATTCTCTCCTTTTGGCACTAATTTATATCAGATTACAAAGAAATTTTTTTTAGAAGGCCGTTTGTTATTGGAGACCACCCTTACCTTGCAACAATTCTACGGATGGTTAAAAGAGGGGAGTCTCATCAAATTTTGCTCTATCTTTTAACAGCATGAAACAACAATTCTCCTCTTAAGTAATTATTTTACTTTGCCTTGTGAATGTTTTAGGTTTTGGTGATTTTAAAGTAAAACAAACTATCCTATAACTCTTTCTATTCTCATCAACAATTTAATGGTAGGATATTGTGAGCAGAAGTTAACATCTTAGTTATTTGAGTTAACTAAAACATAATGTTAGAAACTCATTTCTTTCAAATTTAGGTTGGACAAACATTTGTTTACTTTCAGTGGTAAGTTACATTGTGATATACATATGTAGTAATTAAAATTCTCCGTTTGATTAAAATACTGTGTGCAAAGAACTCTGTTATTGACATGCCGCAAACTTGGAATCTGCATAATTTAACTTTAAATAATTTTTTATGCATTTGTGTATCTCACTCTTGTACTTGTATTGGTAGGAATGAGGTTATTAAAACCTTAAGCCTTCAATGGTAAAAATTAATGTTGCCTCTACTTTATAACAAAATGTACATGTAGATCTTCAATGTACCATACCTTTTAGTAGATTTATCAGAGAAAAAGTTTACAGTGGTGTTGGTTTTCTTTCAGCTGATTATTTTCTGTTTTAATTATTTAATAACTAACCAAGGCCTGTGTACAGTTTGTACCTTAATAAAACTAAGGCCTGACTGTTAGATAGCTTGTCAATTTGCTGAACGTTGCTTTTGTTGAAGGTGTTCCGTTAATGAATTTACATTCCCTTTTCAGGGATATTCTACTCATGGAAACTGGATTTTTGACAATTCTTGTGTCTCCTCTCAATTTATTCAAGTCTAGAAATAGCAAGTAGGTTGACATGAGTGTAGTGTACACCTGTAGATACAGAACTTAACTTTAGCTTACCCTTAACCCTTAAACTCTTACAAATGACTAGCATCCAACTTCTCCTTACAGTATCACCCCCTGAATCAAACATAAGGTCAGGAGAATAAAGGAAATGGTCACCAATTCAGGAAGCCCTTTGTTGTTAAATAAATTCACCTTGTCAGTGCCTTAGATACTGTCCAGGGCTGTGGTCTAGCAGTGCCCAGTTTGCTCTGGGCAACTCAGGAATCTTAGTTTTTTTCATAAAAAGTATATGCTGGGCACCCTGGATTTCACAGTTTCAGAGCACTGGGCTCCTGTCAATTTTTTTTAGAGCACAGCCTTGCTGTCTATAGAATATTATGGAGAATATGCATACTAATGTTAGGATGCATGTAAAAGTGAAAAGTAATACTCTCAGCTTTGAAGTGGTCAAAGCTGATATTTGGTCAATCTGTTTAAGATCTCAGCGTCACCATGATAACATCACACTGTGGTTAGTGAAGTGGCTGGCATTCAGACTTATGTTCTGCTCTGGAGTTGTTAAATTATCAAGTAGATGTCCAACGTGGTGGAGGCTCACTGCTCTTGACTGGCATTATGAGTCACAGGTATACTGTTCATTCTCAGAATGCAGTAATCAATGTCAATCCTAGGTGGGGAAAAAGAGGGAGGAAGGCCTTTCATTTTTCATAAACTTTTTGAAATATGAGAAAATCAGAGATAAACTTTCCCCACCTTGGCCTTACAATATATCCCTTTATGCATCAGAGTTGTATTTATTTCATGAAGAAGAATAAACAAAGGGAGATGGTATTAATAAAAATTAATGTACTATTTTGTTATCAAATAGAAGCAAGTTCTCCTCTCTCTAACATGGAGAATTATCAGTGTTTGCTGAAAAAGAAATTGACACCTTTCAATACAAATTCTTCCCCACAAACAATCAGTTGTCCCTATGCTGTGCCCANATATATCTTATTAACCAAGCGCGAGGGCCGTACTGGGAGAATATCGGCCCGAGGTCTTGACAGTACGGACCGAGCGCAGCGAGGTCCGTACAAAAAAGACCGAGGGCCGATATTCTTCCAGTACGGTCCCGAGCAAGCTTGGTTAATAAGAGATTTATTATACGACTGAAGTTCAAAGGGACACAAGTGCGGTATCATTCGGGACCATTCGGGACAGTGCCCGGTCCAATACTTAGAGAATATTGGACCGGCAATAGAGCATTTTGATTGGTTGATTTTAGTTATTGGCCCTCTGACTGCCCGAGTTGTGTAATAAAAGAAATTATGCTGCTGGCTGAAATTTCAAGTGAGGCAGCTGAAGGGTGGTGAGCGATTGTAAGTTTGTAACCTCGAAGGTGCCTGTTGTGCTGTACCAAGCGATTAGTGGCCAAAAATCCAGCCAGCAATCCCCATTTTTTTATATGGTGCATATTTCACATTAGTTAATGCTTAGCGACAACCCTACTGCCATCTGTTTAGCAGGCAAACAAGCTCTTGTGTTTGTATTTTGCCTTATGGCAAAGCTGCCTAGGATACCTTTCACAGCCAATCTTGGAGAAAGTTATTGAAACCCTGCATAATGTATGCAAAACTGGAGAAGGTGGAAGGAGTGTCCATGCATTTCTTCTATATTTTCAGAGGCAAAAGAAAAGCTTTTGAATGCATGATCATTCAATAGCTAAGAACAAACTAATGAAAAAACTTCTTAAATTTGTTTCCTTGGTTTAATGAAAGCCACATGCCAAAATTCAGCCAGGAATGTTCAAGAACTTTCAAAGAGCATTGATATGCACCTGCTATGGCTTTTCTCAAGTCCTTTATACTGTATTGATTTTACAATTGTGTTTCTCTGTTGTTTCTTTAGATCTTCTTTCAAGTTCTGATTATTCTTACTGGAAACTACAACTTCTTTAACTTACTGGCAATTTCCCTGTTGTTGCCAATTCTTGATGATGAGCATTTGGTCACAATTCTACCATCTTGGCTTGGTAAGGAGACTTGAGAATCTTTTCTCAGGTTTATTATTATTTTTTTTATGCTGATTCATTCAATTTTCTTCAACAGTTAAAAGGTCAGCCATTCATAAACCGACTCAGAAAAGCAAAATTGCAAAGGCACTTGGGAGAATTGCCTCATCTTTTACTATAGCAGTTCTAAGTTATTGGACAGTGAAGCTCTTTGCTTTAGAGCTTTCATCCAAAAGCACCCTGAAGGCTAAGATTAGTAAGTAACAAATTTTGCTAATTATCTGGCCCTCTCAAATCTTTCTTTATAACCCTGCATCTTATTTCTAATACTGCAGAATTATTCATTAAGAACATGAGAATAATAGAAATGATTTCCAGCCTCAGAGCATTTTTAATGTTAAACAAATTCTCCTTGTCAGCACCGATGAAAATGTAGTAGATAATGTAGAATATGGATACTGATGTTGGAATGTTATTATAAGTATTCAAAGATTGCCTTAAAGCACAAGGAAATAGTGGGTGAGTTGGGGGTAATCATTCTACTCTAACTGAGCCATCACCCACTTTGTTTTTGCATGAAACCCGAATTTCAATTAAAGTTTCCACAGGCTAACATTTATCTACTTCATTTTATGTAAAGCTTTCTCTCAGAATCAGTTCTTCAATGCAGTGGATCAAGCTGTGCCAGCAACCATATGGCTAGGTGTCTTATCCTTGAGTGTTGAGATAATTGCATCAGTGATAGGGTGAGCTTAACACCACTTGGTGGGTATTATTGTTTGCTAAACCATTTTAGAAGATGGGATCTGTTAGGGTATCATTGGGAGAAGGAATTGACGATCTTGCATGTCTGTTCTTGGGTGTACTTGTCACATGACTGTATTATTTTGTTATTATTACATGGCCAGCAGTGGCCCTGGGCAAGATGAGGAAAATCCTGTGTTCTGATTGGCTACCTGAGCAGGAAAGATGGGCCCATCTTGCCTGCTCAGGATTGCCCACTTTGATCCTGCATGTGAAAAAACACTGGCTTTGTGGCTACCATTTTAATTCCGTTTCGTTATTTTCATTTCCAGTTGTTTCGTTACATAGTATTACGCGACTTATTCTCACGTGCTTTAATTAAGATTTTGAAGTCGCTTGTTAGGTATGTTGTAGTCCTGGTATGGGTCACTGTATTCCCAATCAGGGTAAAACAGTTCTTTAGTGTGCTTAAGGCACGTTTTGTAATAAAATGAGCCGTAAAGGTACAGACTTAGCAGCAGAAGATTGTCAAAACAAAAAAAACAGAAACCACCCTGAGACTCGTGTTTATTGTGCTACAAACAAAATTGGCTTTCTTTCACAGCTCTCAAAGTGAAGAAGTCATCCTTAATTCTTGATATAGCTCACTCTTTTTGCAATATGATAAATCTTTTAATGACTGAGCTTGCCCTTACTCTTGGTCAATAACACATATGTATGGACAGATGAAGGCATACGCAACAACTGGCAGCTTGCCAAAAGTAGTAACACAAGTCTCTTCTTTCCGTTGCCTCAATGAAACGGAATAAGCAGTAAATAGCTCTGACAGTGTTTGATAACACAGTGGTTAAAATCAGAAGATATGAGCTTTCTCTTATTTGACAGTTGGGCCAAGGTGTTGGGGCACTGGGTTTGTAGTCCGATAGTCATGGGTCTGCTGCTCAGTGGATTTATTCCCAGTTGCCCTGTGTTCAACTCCTTGGCTCTGCTTTGCATAATACCAACAACTGGTCTGCCTCCTGCCAGTTATGTTCATTCATAATGTTTCAATAATTTTAAGTAAAGCCGTGGAATTTACAACAGTTGTGTTGATTTTTTAGGTGTGTCATGCAAAAAGGCATCTTGAATAAGTTATGGTCATTGCTGCAATGGGCCGTATTCAGTTTTGCAGCTTTTGGAATGTTTGCAATAAGCCTGGTGAGCATTGTTTTTTAATAGATGTGGGTTTGTGTTGAAAAAATATATCATCTGAACTGACTGAGTACCAAAAGCAGAGATCTGGCTATCACAAATAGTGTCACAAGAATAAAGGAAATGATCACCAACTAAAGAAGCTCATGATTGTTTAGCCTATGTGTAGCCGTACCCACCCCCCAAGAAAAACAGGGAGGGTTTCTAATGATTGTTAAACAAATTCTCCTTGTCAGCACCTTAGGAAATGTATAGAGAACAGTATGGAGAATATGCATACTGATGTTAGGGTGTAAAGGGACAAGGTGAATAACTTAGTGAATCCAATGTTTTCATTGTCAGTACCATGAGCTACCCAGCAGTCCACAAGAATTGTGTAAGCTTACTCCACAAATTTCTTGCCATGGCTAAGGGGTATTTAATTTTCTGATCAGGAATTTTTTTTCTGCATTTCCAGTCACTGTGACATGGTTAACCCTTTCACTCCTAAGATTTCATTGCTAAATTCTCTTTACTGTTTGTCATACAATTCCTATGATGTTTAGTGCAGAGAATTTGGCATTGGATCCACTGATAATCCCCTGATTGATATTTTTCTATATTCTCATTACTTGTCTGCTTGATATTGTATTGATATTTTAAGGAGAAGTACAGTCTTGGTCACCCGTGGGAGTTAAAAGGTTGATCAGGGGCTGAAATGCTAACATAAGCTGTATTGTTTTCTTTTTTAAGGTTCCTTATACAGATATCAGTCATAATGCCAAGTCAGATCTATGGCCTGTGATTGTAAGATGGCGTCAGAAGACAGATGCCTTTGAACTTGTGAATGCATACGGATTATTTAGAAGGTGAGGAATGAAGACAAACATTAGACCACCACACCTTCTAGCAAAACTACTCTTGCAGTTTGCATAGCAGGCTAAAGTGATTTTCTTTCTTTTCTCGTGATGCTTTAGTATGACCGGTGTTGGTGGGCGACCAGAGGTCATTATTGAGGGAAGTGACCATCTTGAGGGGCCGTGGTTGGTAAGGTGTTTGTTTATTCAGTACCTTGCAAGCAGGTTCTCATTAGCAGCGTAGCATGAGTGGCCAAGCCTGCAAGATTCGAGCCGGCAGGGAATTGTGAAGAGTTCAGCATAAGAAATGAGCGCAGGCTCACATCACTTGTCAGCTTCAATCTTGCTGGCTTCACCGCCCGTGCTATAGCATTAATATGAGCCTGATCGCTGGCCTCCAATCCTGTTTATCAGCTCTATGAATAGCTCTTTCTTCTAAGGTGGCAACGAACCTTACCTGTACTTATTTGTTTGCTTCTATATCAGGAGTACAATTTTCACTACAAACCTGGTAATGTTTCTGAGTCTCCACCGATAGTTGGTAAGTGAATGTTCTTATTTTATTACTTCTTTACCGTGGTACAAAACCTAAATTAATCTTGACTTGGTATACAGTTGAACCTCGACTAACGACCGGAATACTTACAGAGAATGGTACAAGCCACATAAACAATCTACATCACTTGAGTGTCGAAAGTAATCTGGCATTGCATTGGTTATTGCTTTACATCGCACTGTTATTGGTCCAAAAAAACCTTGTGCCACTCTCTCAACCAATCAGATGAAAAACTTAAACCAATCATGACCTTATCGCTTGTGTTTTCCCGCGCTTTAGGCAGTTTGCTTCGTTTTACTTTGAATTCTCATTGGTTTAGGGCAGTTTCTTTTCTTCTCATTGGCTGTTGACATTTCTCTGGTTTTGGTTGTACGGCACTCCATCGAAAAGTGCTCCGGTTCGTTATCTTACTGTTACTCACTGACACATACCCTCTGTATTTCAGCGCCACATCAGCCTCGCCTTGACTGGCAAATCTGGTTTGCGGCGCTTGGAAGCTATGAGTACAATCCGTGGTTTGTACACCTAGTTTACAGATTGCTTCAAGGCCAACAGGATGTTTTGGATCTTTTGGCTAAAAACCCCTTCCCACGTAAACCCCCAACCTACATCAGAGCTCGGCATTATAAATACCACTACACAGAGCTGCCCAAGAATATTTCTTCCATATCTGATGTTCTTCATAACAACAGGTTATTAATATCACAAGATTAGGAAGTTAAACCACATCGATAAATAATGGAGCTTTCGTCCCCAATTGTCCCTGCTAAATAATACGCTATTAACAGAGAATGCTGTGCTGATAAGCTGCCAAATCTAGAAAATATTATATCAGTGTCCTATTAAAGTTCACAAAATTACTCAAAGGCGAGAGTTGAACTTTTGAAGGCCAACGTCAATTTCACAAGAATTACTTATCTTTTAAGACTCAATATTTCGTAGAATTTGGTCATAAATATATTCGAACAGATTCTCTTACCATTTCTGGGCTTTTCTCAAATTCCCATTATGGCGAGACGCATTTATCAAGCTTGTAGCTTCCATGGATTGGAAGTCTTCTTCGTCAATCTTGTCAACTTGAACGAAGACGTTTCTTCGACGCATCTTTGTAATCATCGCGGAGTTATTCATGCCTTTTACTAACCGAGTTTGGGATCCGTACTGTAAGTTCTAGACCGAGTATTTTCTGCTCGAATTTATGGCTCAAGCGTGAAGTGCGCAGGCCATAGATCCGGGCGGAAAAAACTGAGTCCCGTAACTTACAGTACGGACTGAGAAAAACGAGGTTAGCTAGTGTTTTTTTTTTTTTTTTACGAGTTAAAATAGAGGGGAAAGATTTAAACACAAACAAACTTTCGAATTTAGCGGGCCATACAGCGATAAAACGGCCTGACAAATTGACCAATCATATTGCACGAACTAACTGGGAGAATCATAGTAATAACCAGTTGTTATTTCCTACATAATGTCTGTCATGTTGTGTTTTTCTTTCAGACTGGTAAGACATTGGTGGTGGAGGGAGAGTCCGAGGGAATATCTACCAATCGTGACTGTAAATGAACCATCACTAATTAACTGGCTCAATCAATATGGCTATGCAAAGGTTTGTAATCAGGAGCAAGAGTCTATTTATGAGCCAACTAGCCCATCAGACCCGCGCTTAACTCTGGTTTCCGTAGCATGGAGCGATTAGGAGTATTTCTGCCCCCCCCTCCCAGATAGGATGTTAGTCCATCGCAGGGTTACCCCCAACATTAAGTTCGCCGGTGCCCATTTAAACATTTGGGTGAAAGAGGCACTGCGAGAGTAAAGTGTCTTGCCCAAGAACACAACACAATGTCCCCAGCAAGGGCTCGAACCAGGACCACTCGATCCGGAGTCGAGCGCACCAATCCATGAGGCCACCGCCGTAATCATGAGTGTTGTGTAGTTTTTTTCCTATGTATCAAACTCGTGTTAAATTTTGTGGGACTGTTTTGGGTGACATTCATATGACTTAGCGACTGACTGATCGAGAAACAGCCTGACAGACTTACTGACTGACTGATGGATGAACGTACCGACTGAATGAATCGCTTACTAGATCAACTGACGGACTGGCTGACTGACTGACTGACTCACCCATTAACTGACGGTCTGATTAGCTCACCAACTAATTCCCTGAATGACTGACGGAGTGACTAATTGACTGACTGATTTCTGGACTCACCAACTTGTACTAGCTGACAAACTGGCTGACTGACTAATAATTTGGATATATCAACTAAGTTGAAGTGGTAAATTGGCCACCGTAACGATAACAAAAGCTGACGTTTCGAGCGTTAGCCCTTCGTCGGAGCGAATAGAGGAATTGTGGGTTTTGCGTGCTTTTAAAGGTGGAAAATGGAGCTACGTTATTGGTGGGAACATGGCAACGAGAAAAACAAGAATAAATTAGTGGAATGAAAAGCGGAAGGACTGACTGAAATGAAGTGGAATGACTGAAATGAAGTGGAATGACTGACTGATATGAAGTGGAATGAAAAGTGGAATGACTGACTGATAAGCTCACAAAATGTGACTGATTGACGGACTGAGTGACTAGTTGACTGGCTGACCAATTGGCAGACTAAATTACAGCCTGAGTAATAGGCTGGCTGTCAAACTTACTGACCGACTTGTACCGACTTACTAATTGACTGTCTGACCGAACGAATGACCGATTAAATGACATTTGCATCGGAGCGTCAAATCTTAATTTGTTTATTGTGCGTTCGGCAAGGGAAAACGCATCCTAATCTAGTCGGTTTTTCCCGAAATTAGTCTCGTAGGGTTATATATCGTGACTATTGATTTTCTGTTATTTGTTATTAACAAGTGTTATTATTTTTGTTGCAGAATGATCCGTGGCCTGAGCGCCCGTCAGGTCGGCTCTACAGAGCCATCAAGTATCTCCGCTCCATTACACGAAAGTTGGACGCGCTTCGGTTCATGTTGGCGCTGTTTGCATGTGGAGTAATTATGGCATTATTTAATCGCTCTCGGTCCTGAAAGTAACGATGATGAATGTACAGAAAACACCGCAACAAATAGTTGTTTTACTTGGTAGAGGTGAAAGACAACCCTAAAGATCATCTAGCTGGGACATTTCCACTTTTACAATTGCTCGGAGACCTTTGTGATGAGTCGCGATAAAGCACTATCTATTATAGTCTTAAGGCGTCCGTATGTTTCTTGATATATGGAAATATACCAGAAATTCTTGGAAGAAATTATATGAAGATGCTACAGTATTTGTTTAGATAGGGTCGCCATAATATAAAGCAATGCATATGTACATACATCCTGTATTGACTTACCCCAAAGGGGCGAGGCTTTTCATAGACAATAACTACTACTACAATTGAAATAAATAACTATTTAATTATCAACTACAATTAATCACTATTAAAAGGAATAACTATTATTTACTACTAATTAATGACAATAATGTAACGCTAAAGGAGAATCACTGAGAGTCTATAAAATCTTCAAGAGGTTCACGTTTACGGCTATACTTTAAAACAGGCATTAAGTAAGTAAGTAAGAAGACTTTATTGGAGAGGGTGACATTTGACAGTAACTAAACTGATAACCTAATGGCCCTCAAGTAAATACGAGAGAAAATTAATCAAAAACTGACCTACAATCTAGCAAACATAATTTACATAAAAAGGATATAAAACTACTAGATATTAATAAAAGACCTGAGCAATAAATTGATTTTTAAAAATTGATTTATAGAGTGATCCTTTAAAATGTTTCGCGCTAGGACTACGTTAAGATCTGCATTTAGCTTGTGCATTGCATCAATAGTTTTAAGAGAACTACGCAGTGAGTTCCATATCTTGAATATTCTGTAATAAAAGGTCCGCTAGCTGACTTGAAAAGTGGAATGTTCAGCTTTTGTGAATTCCTGGTGGTGGTGCGCCCGCCTTCTACTTTTACAAATTCTCGGAAGCAATAAAGAAAAAAAAAAAATATGTAAAGTTGTGTACTCTCTCCAAATGAATAAAGGCGTTCATCACATGTTCAAGAATTTTAAAGCTAGCACAAAAGGAGGAAATGAAAAGTGTTTTTGTTCGCCCTTGACGACTTGGCCCGCTGAACCAAACGTCAATACGAAGTTGACATTAAGGGAACATCCTTCTTCTGTGACCTCGAGGGCAGTTGTTTCTCAAGACGGCACCATTTTCCCCCTGGTCCACCCACGTCAAACTGTGGCAAAATCTTTTCTGGAGGATTATTACAGCATAGAAATTAAAACTGTTATGGGGGGGGAGGGGAGGGGAAGGGGTAAACCGTGTTATCATCAAGATTAAAGGAAAGTGTGTGAGTTTTGAAAACAGGTTTCCTGAGAACATTATTTGGGAAGTTCTTATTTGATTCTACTTTTCTTCTTCTTGTCGCTGTTTGTGTTCGTTCTCTGATGTAAGTCGTTGGGCTAGCAATATACTCAATACCTTACAGTCTACAATTTTGAATGGAGTTAATGGCGCATGCAATGGAACCGAATGTGCTTGTAAGTTTGAAAGCTGGGGATGGGTGGGCACCATTAATTGTTATAGTTCACCAATAAATTTTCTCCGGTTCTTATTGGTTTAAATCGATCACGTGACGCGATAGTGTTCATCCGTGGAGAGACACTATCAGCCCGCGGAAAATACCCGGATGGATAGTGCCCGTCCGCGGAAAATACCTGAATTGATAGTACTCATCCGTGAAAAGTTTTGAATAGTTTGACGGCCGCGAAGTTAGGCAGATCGGAAAAACAGTGACTTTTCAATTCTGACAGGTATAACGTATTATTTAGCCAATGTACGGTTGCGAATTATTGACATTTGTGACAAGCTGTAGGCGCGGAAGAAAATTTAGTGGTGAACAATAAAAACAATAGAGTGTTTATGTCTCGGAACTATCGGTCTGATAGTTGCCCCTTGGAAATTTGATGTTCTTAAAACTAGCATATTTG